TCGCGTATACGCGCGGCCATATACCCACTTACACTTATATATGTACAGCAGCTAACGGACACAAAGGTCTTTGACGTCTGCGCGTGCTTTGCAAGTTTTATTTTATTTTTTTATTTTATATGTATATTGCATGCGAAAACGCGATACGTGCCTATTGAAACGCGCGCGTTTCACTTTTTTCCGTTTCTCTCTCTCTCTCTCTCACCGAGCAGTCGTCGAGATTCTCGGGTTTGTTACAGCGCGCTCGCAGCAGATAGTAGTAAAATGTGTATCTAAGGATTCGTGCGCCGTTTTTATTATTTTTATTATTTATTTTATTTTATTTCATTTTTTTTACGACGTGACGCACGCGTGGAACGCGCAGCGCGGATTGTGGGCTTTTATTGCGCGCGCAGAAATTTTTAGTTAGCCGAATCTGGGTCAAGGATTTGGAAAGTGAATTTTTTTATTATTTGAGATCAAATTGGGACTTTCTTGGTACGAAGGCCCTAAAACGTGCGAGGATCGTTCAGAGAGAGAGATCCACGCGTTGAGCAGCCTATTGTGATTCACGCGATCGCAAAGTAGCCAAGGAAAATTTGTTGAAAAATCCGCGCTCATATCTCTCTGTCGGATCGCGAGAATTCGGGTATCTTTACGAATATTCCGGCTGAGTCGAGCACAATCGATCGATCGAACCGATTATTTCATCACCCCGGTGAAAGTTCGAAGATTTTTCGTGCGGCCTCTCATCGCGCCCGAATCGAAGCCAAAATTACAATAATATTATAAGCGGATCGAGACCGAAGCGCGACGATTTTTCGATTAAAGGCGCAACACAATAATAAAGCAGTAAATTAAATGGAATGTCGCACGCGCACGTATAGTAAAGTAACACGTTGACAAACGATCTATCTCCCGATGATTTGCATACAATTTGTCATTCTCGCATCGCTCGTGATCCCATAAGTATCACGCGGCGTGCATCTAATAATATTAATTCTCATTATATATGCGCTAAGAAAAAAACGTCTATATATAAAGATTCGCACATCCCGATGTCGTCTCTTCTTTGCGATATGCCACACGTCTCGCGTTGTATACAAGCACGTATAATGATTAATCGCCTCCAGGACAATGTGTGCAAGATGTGCGCGCGCGCCGAGACTTTTGTAATGGGAGAAAGCAATACGCATATAGAAGGTATAAGGAAGATTCGCTCGCACGTCGGGTATTATGTATCGAGCATTTGAATTTATAGGTGAGGATTGTTTCGCTTTCGGAGCGAGGCGCTGATCGATAGCGAGGCCCGCGAGAGACGATCGCAGCTATGACTTTATGACACGGCCCAAAAATGATCGCCTCTATACCTCCACGCGTACGTGCTAGGCTATACGGATCTCTTCATTGTCAACTCGCCACGGAGATCGGTATACAATCTTGCGCGGCTCTCTGGGTATATTATAATGACGATCTCCACGCACACGTCCTATGGAGCACAGCACTGCAAGTTACAATTGGCCCCGGCCTTTGAAGTAGCTGCAGAGATTCGAGTTGCTGCCCGCGAGAGCAGTGCAGCGGGTGTAGCGCGCGTACGTATAATTTTCGTGGGTGCGGTGAACTTCAAAAAAGCGCGCGCGCGGAATAAGTAGGGCGCGCGTCTTATACCCGGTCTGCTGCGAGGAAAAAGGAATGTACGCACACACACGAATGTACGACTTGCGGTTCTTTAAACACTGCATAATACGCATTTTCGACGTTGCCTGCTCGTTATAGATATTTTTTTTTTGTTTTTCTTTTTTCTTTTTACACAAAAAGCCCATTATATATACCGGTGTCGAGACATGTGCGCCGTCGCCACCACACGGGGGCCCGATCACTTGTACAGCCAGCCGCGCGCTGTGGTTTTCTAATTATCAACTGATTATTGCGTACACGATATTGGAAAGTGAAGCGTGTGTGCTTTTTTCTCTCTTCTGTTTTTTTCGTTAAATTGAGCGATTCGCGCTATTTATGAATCAGATATATTATATATTTTCCAGCTCGTTGCGGGAATGGGAGGGTACGAAAAAAAAACCACCGGGCTTCTTTCACTTTGCGCTCGCGCGAGTCATAAAGTATATGTACACCTCGTTGTCGTACAGTATACCCACAGTACACAAAAGAAAGTCCATGTGTATGTGAGTGTGTGTGCACATATAAAAATCGCTCAAATAGACTTTTATACTTACGAGCTCGCGTGGGAATGAAACGGGCGAAATATAAAAGCCGATATACGTATGTACGTGTGTATGTGTGCTTTGCTGAACTGTGTATATGGGTGTATAACACATTCATATCTCGCTTCGTATCGGAATATAAGTAAGGTGTATGTCTGTATACAGTAGCGACTTGATCTACTTTGTTGCTCGCGACACAATCGCAATCATTTTCTCCTTTATATTCCTTGAAAATGACGGAAAAAAAGACCATCGTATACAGAGTAAACAACAATTACGTCGTCGACTCGACTGGGCGTGTGCGTGGAAAATGAATGTGGATATTTATAAATTTATGAGTCTAGGTGCTAAGAAATCTATATTACCGCGCGTGGTTATAAGCCTTTTTATGTTGTATGCGGGATGATGTGGGCTATCGAAAGCGCATGAGTTTCCCCAATGTTATCGCTTGAATGCAAAAATTTTCTCCAGATAGTGTAAAATGTAAAGGACGATTAAACTTTTTTATTTTCTATTGTGTTGATGTGTTTTTTTAATATTTGACCAAAATATGATACGTTTCAATAAAAAATATGTTTTCGTTCGTTGTCCGAATCTTTAAAATTATTTTTTATTTTTACATATTAATTATCTAAAATTTTAATTACCATCGGTACGTTCATGTCCATTCAATATACTTATTTATAAAAAGTCAAATCGCCAACAATTTGACCCAATTTTAATCGCAGACTATCTGAAGTCATCATAAATGCAATAACTTGCTTTGATAATGAAACTAAAACACAGAAAATAGTATACACATCATTACATTGTTGCAATATGCTTTTTCATCGCTGCTAAAGGGGTGAAAGAAAAAGAATAATCTTGAATTTAACTCGTGCCTCTTTCAAGATCATCCTTTTTGCCTTTATTTACAATAAATACGTATATATAAGATATGTAAATAATTGTATAGATCGTTGAAAAATTATATTAGCTCGATATACCATTTATTGCTGGCAAGAGTCTCAAAATCAGCGACAAAGTTATCATTCATCTATTTCTACTATTTACAATAACGAATGCGAGCGGCGATCATCTTCTTATTTACAACCATGAAGTGACCATCGATGAGAAACTATGCACCTCGTGATTTACTCGCTTCTTGAGCAGATACGCCACGATGCGGCCCCTGATGACATCAGCGGTGTACCTGAACTTCTCGTTGAACTTCTCGGACGAGATGTACCAGACGGAGTGGAATTGCTCCAATATAATCACAAAATGACAATTTTTTCAGCCACTTTAAGTATTATAATACTACTTTTAGCTTTCAACACTAGATAGCGAGCCCCTTTAAATCTGTAAATCTGCAAATAACAAAGTTAAAAGAATTCTATAAGTCAAAGCACAAATATTTATAATTTACCGATTTTCACTTATAATTTCTGCATTACATTTTAAGCCAAATGATGCTTCACAAAAAGCACATGCAAATGGTCGAAGTCTGTCGTGTACGGTTGCTTTGTGCCTTTTAACACAGCTAGCGTCTCAAAGCAGTTTGTGGCACTTATCACAACCGGCGCTCAAGACGCCATTGTGTATAGTTTCTCTGTACCTTTTTAAGGCCGATTTTTGCGAGAATTCTGTATCACAAATATCACAGACATGTTGTTGCTGTTTATTTAGATCCACTTCTTCTTCTTTCTCCAATCCATCGCACTCTTCAAAAAGAGAGTCTGGAAAGAAAAACTCGACAGCTTGATCGTCTTCAATCGTTGCCATTTTGGCTGGACTTCATCATGACCTCGTGCAGGGTAGTGCCCTGGTAATTCAGCTTGGTTAGCTTGGCCACCTTCACCTTCTTATTTTACTCCTTCAATTTGTCGATTTCTTCTTCTTGGTGGTGGTAAATTTCTCGCTGACTTGCTTGAGCTTGGCGAAAAAAAACTTATACAATTATTTTGACTTTGCCACTCGCAGTTGTACAGACAAAGGTACTCGCCATCTAGTGGTGGAAGCTTAAAGTGAGGCCACTATATTCAAAGCGTTTCGAAACTAGTCAATATTTTTAAAACAGTTAAATCAAGTATAGTCATTTTTGGGTTATTTACAGTGCTCTTATTATTTGCAATAAAATTTTACCAGGCAAATCGGTAAATACAATCCAATTTTTAGTAATATAATTTAAAATATTACAAATGACCATTTTTTGATTGTGAGAGCGTTATTGATATTGAGCATTTTTACCAGAGTGAATATAAAAATAGCTCGCTTGCTCGCTTCATTTTTATAATAGATATTTTTTTTAACTATAATATTCTCTTAAAATTTTGATCAATCCTACCAATGTTTGCAATTGCTTTCTTCGCATTTCTGAAGATAGATAAAATATCACCGTTAACATAGGGATTTTTACTAACTTATTTGCACTGTTATTGTATGCACACATACACCCATGCATATTATTGGCCCATCACCAAATGCCAAGTAAGCTAGTGCATTATTAGATGTTAATTTTTCTGCTCTGTTGTATAAACGTCTAGCGCAACAAAAACTTCTATACCATGAATAATTCGACATAAATGTAGGATTAATTGTAATTTTTAAAGGAAGCTCCTTATCTATGTATTGGCGCAACGACTTTCTAATAGCATTCCAACGCCGTCAAACAACTGAAATCTCTTTTCATAGAATTAGACAAAAGAACTCGATCGCGGACTGATTCAGTTATTTTGTGATGTCAAAAACTTACATCGCGACTTCCGTCTCAAAATTTGCCAATGCTTGTATAATTAAATAAAAAATAACAAAAACGACGAAATGATGGAAAACGTCGACGATATGATTAGGTATAATTATTTGTGTGTTATAATGCATTTTTTATTTTCTGAGCGATCCCTCATTAAACTTTATAATTTTTCAGAGTGAAAAAAGAGCCGAGTGATACTTTGATGGTGGCAGATGACGTTAACTTTTTCAATTCGGTAGACACTTGCAAAGCTGAAATATCACCATTTCATGAATCATCGGTGAGTTCAATCAAGTGAATCATATTTTGTTGGTCGATTATGAAAAAGAATCCACAATATTCATTTTAGGTGAAACACGAGAATGAGGCTATGGTGCTACAGAAAAGATTAGATGAAAAAATATTCATTGATTTTGAATGTAAGAATGTTAAACCTGAACTTCTGTTACCATTGAAACCAATTTCGAAATCTGAGTATCAATATTTTCAACCTATTGTAAAAGAAGAAAACAAATATTCGATGGGTTACATGAATCAAAAAAGTTTAATAATTCTTATCAAAAAAAGGATTCAATTATGATAACTTCAAATGTGGCATTTGTCTTAAATCATTTGGATTCAAGACAGATCTCAAAAGGCATATAATTGCAGTACATAATCCCAAAAAACCCATCGAATATAAGATTTGTCACCAAACATTTGGAGAAAAACAAACGCTCAACAGACACAGAAATACAGTACATGATCAGAGCAAACCCTTCGAGTGTGATAGCTGTCATATATCATTTGGATACAAAAGTCACCTCAGTAAACACATAAGTGCAGTACATAATGGAAGCAAACCCTTCGAATGTGAAATTTGTAGCAAATCATTTGGACTAAAAAAGGATCTCAATAGACACTTAAATGCAGTCCATGATCGTATAAAATGTTTTGAATGCGAGATTTGTCACAAGTCATTTGGACTAAAACGTCACCTCACAGTTCAAAAAAATACAGTACATGATCACAGCAAGCCCTTTGAATATGAAATTTGTAGCAAATCATTTGGATATAAAAATCACCTCAAACATCACGCGAACGCAGTACATGATCGTAACAGACCCTTCGAGTGTGAAATTTGTCACAAATCATTTCGGCAAAAAAGTACTCTCAAATCTCACATAAATTCAGTTCATAATTATAATAAGCCCTTCGAGTGTGAGATTTGTCAAACATTATTTGGATTAAAACATCACTTTAAAAGACACATAAACAGAGTACATAATCGTAATAAACCCTTTGAATGTGAAATTTGCCACAAATCTTTCGGTCGAAAAGGACATCTTAAAACTCATATTAGTACAGTACATAATCGGAGTAAACCATTCCAATGTAAAATTTGTCACACATCATTTGGGCTGAAAAGTCACCTCACAGTTCACACAAATACAGTACATGAGACTATTTGAATGTGAAATTTGTAGCAAATCATTTGGACAAAAACCACACCTCAAAACTCACGTAAATACAGTACATGATCGTAGCAAACTCTTTGAATGTGAGATTTGTCAGAAGACATTTGGACATAAATGTACCTTAAAAACTCATATGAATTCGGTACATAATTTTACCAAATCCATGTAGCTCAGATCACTAGGTCATTCCAAAAACTTTTATGAATACATTTCAAATCATAGGCAAAAATTAAAAAAAATGAGATTACTTCTGTTACATGTGGATAAAATAAATGTGTACTTACATGAGTAAGATTTTGTTTAAAAACTTTTGGCATAAATATTAATATAGTCAAAACTGAGAACAATTTTTTTCATCCTTTGTACGTAAACTAAAATTCAAAGCCACTAAAATTGTAGTAAAATAAATTCAAAGCCAAGATGTTTTTCTTCAATATATCACTTTAAACTTATATTTGAACTTGATTTAAAAACATTCCATTTATCTATTCACTTTTCACCAAGTACTCCAATCAACCATTTCGGCAATATCAAACATTGAGTAAGTATCGATACTTGCGGGAACATCAAAACAGCTGTAAAAAATGAATACTTATCAAAATATCCGCATTTAAAGCATTTTCCCTTGTTTTCGAGACCTCAATGAAAAATCATAACCGTGTATTACGCGTGTCCAAAGACAAAAAATTCAATCGCGATCTCAGCCTCTAATTTAGCCGATAATTTGTTTAGAATTTCTCACATAAATCCGCTGAAAGCTTATCGCGTGTCAATATTAAGATTTTTTCGAGACTCGCCTCGATTGACTTTTACAGCGCGCGCATATGAACGCAAACGGCCAGAGGAATTTGCAGTTTACATTTTTCCTCTCAACGAATCGATCGCGCCTTCCGGTATAACAAGAACACATATCCACGATCCATCGATCGGAAGCAGCACCTGATGCGCGATCGTTATTTTATGGTCCTATCTTTCTCTCTCGCTCGTCGTTTGCGATATGCTCTCTTGCGCAGCGGCAACGGCAGCAGCAGCAGCAGCAGCAGCAGCAGCAGAGATCCATCCCGTTAATGAAACGCGAGTCGAGCGCTTTACAGTGCAGAATGTGCATCACGGTGCAGTTGGCTCCGCGCGGAGATCCGTGTGAAAGCGCACGCGGCGTACCTCCTATACACGTATACATGCGCGCGAGCCGTGCAGCTCGCTGTGGGCTGCGCTGTCTCTGACGTCAATCGTTGGCGTGCAGGAGCTGCTGCATCCAAAGTGTGCGCACTTAAAGGCGAAGCGCAAAAATTGTGCAACACCTCTGCCGCAGCTCCGACGTGTGCGCACGCGTTATACTCGGTCGTCGTCGTCGTCGTCGACGTTGGCCGATTCATCCGATGCGGGACTTTCCAAGGTGTTACATGTATAATGTGCAATATGACATAGGTATTAACAATTGCGTTACGATCGCAACGGCGACGGTCCGGAGCGCACTGGTATCTTTCCCTAAGCGCGCGTCACGCGAAAGAGAAAGTCAACCAATTGGCAATACATTTACGTACAGCGAGAGATTCTGCTACCGCTGCCAACAGGCGGACAAATACCAACTAGACTATTAATCCAACGATAAAAATTCTGCATTCGTTGAATTTTATAGTAGCAAAATATTATTGCCTGGAAAACCCACACGCGCACGACATTTTCATAACGCACAGTCGAGAGAGAGACAATTTCACTCTCTTAATCATTAGTAATTCCGTGATGCGTGTATGTGTGTGTATACGATTGTGTTGTTATGTTTGTTTTTGTACTTCTATAGCGGCGTATGTATGTACGCATCGAGCAAAACAATTGTATACACATAGGCACGCGCATAAAACGTCGCATCGGCTGCGGCTGCGGCGGCGGCGGCGACGACGCAGAGACACAGCACTGCGCTGCACACGTTCTGCATCCGGAGAGAAACGACGACCTACTCCTGCGCAACTATATGCTAATTCCGAGCGCTAATATGCACTTGAGTTTTTTTTTTATTCTTTCATTCAAAATGAATCGAGATTTTCTAATCGTTATACGATGATCATTTTTTTGTTGCCTTCTTAAATACGCGCGCGCGAGTCGATCGATGATAAAAAAAATAAAGAGGAAAAAACCTTAACGACGAGGGAAAGTCGTTTGACTAGGGAAGAGGCTCTGTAATGTACGGTGCTAAATCGCCAATCGATGCGCCCGAGACTTTTATCATATAGGCACAAGAGAGCGAAACATCTAGATCAGCCCGCGGCTGAATTTGATATTTTATTTTATTACAGTTTTGACATTGATACGAGCTGCTGCTGCTGGAACAACGCCGCGCTGAAATTACATATCGGTGTATAGAATTGTCGTACGCGTAGGCGGCAGGGAGGCGCTTCAAAAGCACGCGACAGTGCAGCGCGAGTGTATACGCCACAAGAAAATCTGCTCTTTGCCCATTGTACGAACACAGAAGAAAATCTCTTTCTCTCCCTCTCTAATTGTTATGCTCGCTTCTTTTTTTTGTTGTATTCTTTCTTTCTTTCTTTTACCGAGAAATTCGAGTAGCTCTGTGCATTCAATTATGACTAATTAAATTTGGAAACTCTTTTTTTTTTTATTCATGTATAAAACGATGACGAGTGCATTTGAGCACGAAATGCGGTGTGGAGCTTTCACACCGAGTTATAAATAAAGACACAATGTTTTAGCATATGAGTTGTGCATTTTAATTATTGCGATTTTCCTTTTCGCCTTTCGTGCTCGAGAAAAAAATGCAGAGTAAAAATAATTACATCATAACGTTTACCAAGAGCACACTTTTTTTCGCCAATTAGTGTTCGATCGCGAGTTTTGGAATATTGACCTGCTTTGTCGTTCTGTTTAGTAAGATCCAATTTTGAACATTCCGATAGAGAAGCTAAAGTAGATACTCACCATTAATAATAGCTAAACAAAGAAAAAATTATCATTTAAAATGTTTTAAAATACATTACTCTTAATTGGCTTGTTTTTGACTATTTTTCTACTACCATTATGTTCAAAAATAAGCCTGATTTATAAAATCACAAAATGACAATTTTTTCAGCCACTTTAAGTACAGTAATACTACTTTAAGCTTTCAACACTAGATGGCGAGCACCTTTAAATCTGTAAATATGCAAGTGACATAGTAAAAAGAAGCGTATAAGTCAAAGCACAGATATTTATACTTTACCGATTTTCACTTATAATTTCTGCATTACATTTTAAGCATAATGCTCCCTCACAAAAAGCTTTGTGCCTTTTGACATAGCTAGCGTCTTGAAGCAGTTTGTGGCACTTATCACAACGGGCGCTCAAGACGCCATTGTGTATAGTTCCTCTGTGTCTTTTTAAGGCCGATTTTTGCGAGAATTCCCAATTGCAAATATCACAGACGTGCTGTTGCTGTTTCTTTAGATCCATTTCTTCTTTTTCCAATCCGTCGCACTCTTCAAAAAGAGAGTCTACTCAAAAATGAGCTATGGAGCTTCCTAGCTCATTCTAGAGCATAACATAGATTCGAGCAAAATTCTGAAGAAATTTGAAAAATAATGTAACTGTGACCAATGTCTTCGGAATTTCGCTCGAATCTTTGTTATGCTCTAGGATGAGCTAGGAAGCTCCAATCGAAATTTTGCGACGGTCAAAATTTATTAAAATTAGACAAGAAATTCAAAAAAAATTTTTTCAAATTTTTTTACCGGAACCATCGGGTTCCAGGAACCTTTTTTGTTGAAAATAACGTTTTTCGGCTCCAGACGCTATCGCCTTCAATTAAAAAATCTGAAAAAATTTGAGATTATGTATTTTGATGAACAAAGTGAGAAAAAATTTTTTCCAGATTTTTTGAGGCTCCGTAGCGCCTTAAAAAAATTATTTTCGTGAAAAAAAGCGGGTTTTCAGCTCTAGGCTGAATGGACATGAATGAAAAATTCTGAAAAACTTCAAGGAGTCATTTTTTGACGTCAGAATTCAGAAAAAAAACTCCGGTCTGGTATATCGATCCATTTCACCGAAAATAAAATAATTTACATTTTCAATGATTTTTTCTGAAGGCCTGAAGCACTCGAAAAATCTGAAAAAATTCGAGATTGCTTGGATTGTTGAAAAGTACCTCCATGAATTTTTTCAGATTTTTTAATAGCTTCAGGTCTTCAGAAAAAATATAGATAGAAAATGGACGTCTATAGGGGAGGAGGGGGGTAGGAGGGGGGAGGGGGTCCAAAATTTTGGTTTTGGCACTTTTTTATCATGTACTATAACATACCAAAATTTCAGGAAAATCCGTGAACCTCGCCCGCAGGTTTATTTGAAAAATTCTGAATCTGACCCATATATAAAAAAAGATCATTAAACGAACGTCGAACTTCATAGAGCCATTAAATGTTCAGAAAAACGTTACAC